ACTGCAGGGGTTTATGGTCGGTCTCAATGTGAAATCGTCTACCTAAAAGGTATGGTCTCCATTTTTCCACTGCCCACACGATCGCTAAACACTCCTTTTCGATGGTTGAATACTTCTGTTCAGCAGGTGTGAGGACGCGACTCGCGTATTCCACCACTCTATCAGCCTGACTCAACACAGCACCTATACCATGATCACTCGCGTCTGTGGCCACTGTAAACAGTCTTCCCGGTTCAGGCAGTCTAAGCGTCATCTAGCGATCGTTTAGCATGTTTTTGATTCGGTTGAACGTTAGTTCGGCAGTCTCAGTCCACGTAAACTTGGTGCTGCTCAATAACTTATATAAGGGTGCTGCTATTTCGTTGAAATTTTTGACAAACCGACTGTAGAACGCCGCTCTTCCCAGGAACTGTCTCAACTTCCTTTTCGAATTAGGTACTGAAATATTTTTTATGGTAAGAATTTTCTCCGGCAATGGTTTTATTTCTCCATTTCCCACTTTATATCCCAACAATGTGACGCTACTTTTCGCTATCTGCGACTTGTCCTTATTAATCCGAAGTCCAAATTCGTCAATTCGCTTTAAGACCGCTTCCACATGTTTGATGTGATCTGTTTTTGTTTGACTGTACACAACTACGTCGTCGCCATATACCTCGACATTATCTAGATTCTTGAGCAGTAGTGTCATTAATCTTCTGAACGTGAACGGTGCACCCGCCAACCCGAACGGCATTCGTTTAAATTGATACTGTTTATCACGTACAGTAAACGCTGTCTTGCTCCGATCACTCTCTTTTATAGGCAGTTGCCAATAACCTGACCGTAAATCCAGCACTGTAAACACCGTGGCATTCTGTAGCCGATCTAATGTTTCCATCACTGTTGGCATTGCACAAGGCTTCAGGTCTGTTATATTATTCAATTCTCTGAAGTCGACACAAAATCTATACTTTCCATTTGGTTTCTTTACCAAGAGTACCGGCGAGCTATATGGGCTGTCCGCTTCCCCAATTATACCTTCTATTAACATTTCCTGGACCTGACGATTTACCTCGGCCTCTAAATGCACCGGGACACGACGTGTTGCAAATATATTTACTCGACTGTTCTTTATCGGTATTTCGTGCTTTACTCTGTCACAAAATCCATACGGCTCCCCATCTCCAGTGAACAGTTTCGCATACTTTTTGCATAACTCGTGAATGTTTGGTTTCTTTGACGAGACATCCGCTGCAACTCTTATTTCAGCCACTTCGCTACTTTCGTGTATTGTCAATGAACCATATTTCGTGACCACCTTACCGCTTCTTAAGTCAACTATCGCTTTTACTTCTCTTAGGAAATCTGCTCCTAATATCGGTCTCGATAAGCTTGTGGTTACGACGAACGGAAAATTTATCTCCGCATCCCCCACTTTTACGATACTGTTAGATACACCAAACACCTCTAACATATGGCCCCCTATCGTGTGGACAGCTAATGTACACGGCTTGATTCTCTTACATTGCTCTTTGCCTATTAACGATACTGCTGCACCTGTATCGATCAGACAAACTAAATCTCGCTCATTTATGTTCACTCTCGTATATACTGCCCCTCTGTCTACTAACGCAACAATCCCCAGATTCCTAGGATAGAAAGAACACTCGTTGTAACGTCTAACATATCTGCGTCTTCGTCTTGTTGGACAGTTTATCTTCCAATGTCCTGTCCCTCCACAAGCGTAACATTTATCGTTCCTTTTATTGTTCACTCGTATTGCTGCAATCTCGCGCTCCAGCTCCTCAATCTTCTTCTCGACATTACTCATCTCCTGCTTTCCGCACCCGACCGGAGCTACTGTTCGCGTCATCAGCTGACGAGTCACCTTCGCCAGTTCACTGATATCCATCGGTTGCGCTGCGTTCACCAGTTTCAGCTGTTGGGAGACGGTGGCAGGCACACTCGATAAACTGTGACGCCAACAACTGTGCCTCCGACTCCTCATCCAGACTCGGCAGCGCACGGCGTAACAATCTGGTAAGCTCCACAGCCAGCACCAGTGGGTCCCCATCGACCGGCAACCTCGCCAACCGGAACTTCTGCAGCGCGTCCTCTCTGTCCACTGGGCTGTCAAACTCCGCCGCCAACCGCTCCGTGACTGCCTCCCATGTGGTCTTCCCGCCAGCACCGTCCAGGCTGTCATACACCGCCTTCGCCCTGCCTCTCAGCAGCGTCCCCAGCACCACCAACTTCGCCTTCGGCTCCTTCGCTCCCACCAGCTCCGTCACGGCCTCAAACTCCTTCAGGAAGCTCAGCACATCTCCGTCCTCAAACTCCTTCGGCCATGGGATCTTCATCCTCAGTGGAGGCAGCGACACCAAATGTAGTGAAGAAGAACACGGGTGAGGACAGCCAAATTGTATTTAGGACAAATTACAGAATTACTTGGTAAAATAGAAAAACCATATAGTAAATCGTTAATTTGCGAAATATCATTCTATCATATCAAACCGGGCTGTTGCTGTTGCAAACATCAATCCATTGTCTCGCATTTCATTGCTCATGCGATTTCTTACAAATTCCATTGTTTTCTCGCTCTTCTTTTCTTGATCTTCTCCATCTTCTGCTTCCAGCCATTACGTTCTTTTGACTCACGTTATATACTACTTATATCAATATAAGTAGCACGCACCACAAAAGTAGCAACTAGGTACGACCCGGACACTGAATCATCCTTATTAGATCTTATATTGACTCACTATGAGGATGACGTTGCGAACCTACATGACATGCCACCCCTAGGTAAGGGTGATCATGCAGTTTTAACTTTCGACTTCCATATATCTGTCAGTCACGAGCACGCGTCAGCCAAATCCAGACCTAACGTCTGGAAAGCAAACATACCAGATATCATGCACTCAGCGTCGTTAGTAGATTGGACTATAGACCCACAGTACTCAATTGAAACGGCTTTGGACGCATTTCAGAAATTACACTTAAAAGTTACCGCACCCCACATTCCTTCGGACTATACCAAGGTGGCCGAGAATTTCTCCACCATGGTTCAGTAGGGAAGTCCTCATCCTTCTCCATAAAAGAAGAAAAATGTGGGATAGATTTAGGTTACAGGAGACTGATGAGACAAAATCTCATTATCGAAAAGCTCAGAATATCTGTGCCTCGACCCTCCGTAAGTCTAGAAAGTTGTACGAAGAAAAAGTTGCTAAGGATTCCATAGAATGTCCTAAACGCTTGTGTTTCTATATAAACCAAAGGACAAAAAGAAAAAGAATTATTCCTGCACTATGGGGAGATAGTACTGCCGCATCATTAGTGGAGGACAGCTTTGGTAAGGCTCAAGTGTTCTCAAACTACTTTAGAAAGGTATATACCATAAAAGCACTCTTCCGGTCAGTCCATACAAATCCCCTCACATAAACACTGGACAGAGTGACCACTAAAAAACTCGATGTTTTTGGTCTGCTAAATAAGCTTGACATAGGTAAATACACGGGGCCTGATAAATTTCATCCTAGGCTACTGAAGGAATTATCTAATTTCGTTGCGAACCATTTAAGCATATGATTTAATCTATCCGTAACGCCATAGTAAGTCCTGTCTTCAAATCAGGTACGAACCTGAGAATTACCTACTCGTTAGCCTAACTAGTGTGGTTGTTAAAATCTCAGAAAAAATTATTCGGGAGGAGCTGTTTGAGTACCTTGATGAAAAACGGATCCTTTCGGAGAAACAGAATGGCTTCAGAATAGGTTATTCTTGTCTCACTAACTTATTAGTGGCTCGTGAAAGCTGGTGAGCTCTTAAGCACCACAAGTTACCTGTAGACGTAGACTTCATTGATTTCAGCAAAGGTTTTGACAAAGTTCCGCGAAACCGGCTGTTACATAACCTAAGAAATGCCGGAATTGAAGGCAATCCATTGGTGTGGATTAAAGATCTCCTAGTTGGGCGCCAACAGAGTACGGGTGAATTCAAAGTTGTCTAGCTGGGAAACTGTACTTAGTGGAGTGCTCCGAAGTACAGTTTTGGGTCCAGTGCTATTCCTCTGGTATGTAAATGACCTTCCTCGTCTCCTACCCAAGCTGCCAGCTTTGGTTAAATTTTGAAGAATTTTGGGGAAATTCCCAAAGTGAAATAGTTTTCCCCAAAGTTTGGGGAAATTCTGGGGAAAGACCCCAAAATGTTCGTAGCGCAGTTTCCATCTATAACATTTCATCGACATAAAATAAATAAGCCTCAAAGTAGTAAATTTGAATAAATAATTTCACATTTTATTACAATACAGACTTTTGGTGAAGGATAGTCTATCGAATTTCCGGTTTTGTTTTAATACATCAATAAGCAGACACGAGAAAAGTGTTGTCTGTTGCAAACCACTTTTTCAAAATTCAGACGCTATTAAGATGAGTTATTAGCAGTACAGGTCGGAAACTTTGCATGCTGTCTATGTTCAGTCTTACATAAGTCAATTATTTCTTTCAGAATAATAATAGACAGGTCGATACGATTGCGAAAAGGCGGGCTCTATTTAAAAGGACAGTGTTATTGTTTCTCGTTGAGTTAATTAACTGTTTTGATCGTAACCCCAGCTGCCAGCTTTGGGGAAATTTTGGGGAAACCGCCAAAGTAAAAAAACTTCCCCAAAGTTTGGTAAAATTTTGGGGGAAATCACGAAAATAATCGTAGCGCAATTTTGCACACTAACATTTCATCTACATAAGATAAATAAGCCTCAAAGGAGTAAATTCGAATAAATAATTTCACTTTTTAATAGAATACAGACTATTCGTGAGGGATAGTCTATCGAATTTCAGGTCTTGTTTAATTACATAAACAAACACAGTAAACAAAGAGTTGTCGGTTGTAAAGCTCTTTCTCAAAATTTGAACGCTATGAAGGTGAGTTGTTAGCAGTGAAGGTCGGAAAATTTGGTTGCTGTCTATGTTCAGTCTTACTTAAGTCAAATATTTCTTTTTTTATAACGCGCTCTATTTAAAAGGACAGTGGTATTCTTTCTCGTTGAGTTAATTAACTGTTTTGATCGTAAATTACGCATCAAAACTACTGTTTACACTTTAATTGCATCTACCCCAGTTAAAGTGATATTTTATTGAGTTTTTCGATTTTGCTTCTGTGTATTTATTGCATCGAAGCATACTTGGTCGACTTTTACTTGGTTTATTTAGTTAAGGTTTGAAAATCCTTTTACATATCCTGTTTTTGTCACCGTTCTAGTTGGTTTTCAAGATGGCTAGGTCTACTCATAAATGTGGACAACCACACTGCTTATTTCCCGTGGATGAAGGGATGCAATGTGATGAGTGTAATAAGTGGTTCCATAAGATGTGCACCCGACTAAGCCCCACTGCATATAAAAGGTGTTCAAAGCCCAACTCTCATTGGCCTTGTAGTTTTTGTTGCTCGAGCAAAACATTGCTTATCCAGGAAGCAATTAGTCTCCTGGTGTTGGCTAATAAGAAGGTTGATGAGGGCTGTACTGATAACATTGGTACGGATGGCGAAGATTGCGTTAGTGTCGTAAGTGCTATCACGGCGCAAGCTAGACATCTACCTGTGCAACCTGCAGTTAAACGTTCTCCCCCGAAACGATCAGTGAGTGACACGTCATTAGACGTTGGTGGCCACATTGCTACAGCAGCAACCGGTGACCCAGATAAAACAATTACTGTCCCGAGTTGTTCTAATGTAGACGTTTCGTCTGATGGAAAATGGATGACGCGAAAACGCAGAAGAGTAGGAAAGATAGCTAAAACTAAGGACTGTTTACTTGGTAAGTCCTTGGTGGACTCTCAGACCAATCCGCCAAAGTCTCATAGTAAAGCTTCGTCTGACATTGTTGTGAGTCATTCGCTTGACTCCCAGGACTCTGTTACAATAAAAACTAATCGTAAGCTACCAGTAGTTAAAATACAGGATCTAACGTCACGGTCGAAAGCTGTGAACACAGTTTCAAAAGAAGCTAAACCCATCCCTAGTTTAATTATTTGGAATCTAGAGGAGTCGAAAGACAACGACCCTGCTAAAAGACACGCACATGACCTGCAGTTAGTGGAGTCTGTGGTGAGGAATGTACTACCTGAAGAGGTTTCAGGGGTACATATTACAAAAGTAATACGACTTGGTAAATGGGTTGGAGGCGAGACCCAACCAAGAAGGATCCTGAAGCTGGTTCTCGGGAGTTTCGAAGAAAGAGACATATTATTGAAAAGCGCACTAAAAACTCGTGCCTCAAATATCCGTATTCGACCAGATTGGCCGCTTGAGGATCGAATCAAGTGGAAGAATGCTCTTACGGAGTTGAGGACTCGCAAATTAAATGGCGAAAATAACCTTACCATTAAGGGTTTTCGGGTAGTCAGGTCTTGGAAGCCAATGCTTCCGAGGCCTGTATGGGTAGAACGATTGATCTCCAAAACACCTTAAGTGTGTGCTACACGAACGCTCGTAGTCTTAGAAATAAAACGTCCGAGCTAAGTCTGATGGTGCAAAAATTATGTCCCGATATAATCGTTGTTACAGAAACTTGGTTCACCGTTGATATAGACTGTTCTCCTTTCATTGCTGGTTATATCTGTATCAGAAGTGATAGAGTTTCAAGTCGCAAGGGGGGAGGTATAATATTTTACGTTAGGGATCACTTTCGTATACAATCAACCATATCGGAGGCTCATATCAGTGGCACATGTGAGGTTGCATGTTGCAAGATTAAATCTAGAAATGGGTTAGTGACTATAGGGGGAATATACCGTAGTCCGTCTTGTCTGGCTGACGACTTTATCCTAAGACACATCTGTTCTTGGAGTATGGCAGAATGTTGTCTCATCATTGGGGACTTCAACGCACCGCATATCAACTGGATAGAGCTTACAGCTCCAGGTAGTGGTTTCGATAGCGACCTTTTATCTACCGTTATTCAGTGTGCACTTGTACAATGTATCACAAAACCGACACATATTGATTTGCAACATGTTCCGTCACTGCTGGACCTCGCCCTCACCCACCACTCTGAGGATGTCTTTGATATCCAGCACCTTCCTCCACTAGTGAACAGTGATCACGTTGTAATTCACTTTAAGTTTAGGACGCATGGTATACAATTCGTATCTGCTCCACCCCGTCCCAATATCTGGCGAGCTAATATTCCGGAAATCAGAAACCGTGCTATCTTGACCGATTGGTCGGTCGACGCGGATGGATTGATCGAAGATGAATGGAATAAGTTAAAGGCTACATTCGAGTCCGTAACGTCGCCGTTTATCCCATGGTCAGCACGTAAGCTATCACATTGCCCTCCATGGATTAATAAGGAAACCCGGAAGCTGTTAAAGCGTAGGGAACATTTCTGGGACTTATTCTTGTTGACAGGTCATGCACCATTTAAGCGTGAGTATCAAAAATACCGTAATATCTGTAAGAAAACCATAGCGAAATCCCGTACCACTTGCGAACGACAGTTAGTATATGATAGCCGTACTTGTCCGAAACGATTGTTTTCGTATGTTAAACGGCAAATGAAACGTAGTGATGGTATTCCCCCGTTGCTGTTACACGAAAATTCAGAATTACTAGCTGAATCAGATCGAGCAAAAGCTGAGACTTTTTCAGATTATTTTAGCGAAGTCTTCTCTACGTTTATTGTAACAAATACTTGTCCCACTCACACCGAGATACCAACCATTGAATCTGTACAGGTGACTGAGGAAACTGTCCTTCCGTTGATAACTAACCTCAAACCTGGTAAGATACCGGGCCCTGACGGGTTACATCCACGGTTGCTATCATCTCTTGCGGACATTATTTCAAAACCGCTTGTGACACTCTTCAACATGTCCCTCTCACTCTCTCAACTCCCTAGAGATTGGAAGGACGCTATAGTTAGTCCTATATTTAAGGACGGTCAGCGACAGATAGTATCTAACTACCGGCCTGTCAGTCTAACTAGCATAGTCGTTAAGTTACTCGAAAAGATAATTCGGGTTAGGTTGCTAAGCCACATAGATTCACACAATCTGTTAGCTCCTGAGCAACACGGATTTCGTAACAAGCGTTCTTGCTTGACTAACTTGCTTATTGCGAGGGAGGATTGGACAGCAACCCTAGATCACGGTCTGTCTGTCGACGTGATATTCATAGATTTTAGCAAAGCGTTTGACAAGGTTTCACACGTAGGTCTTATGCAGAAGCTCACGAGCTTCGGAATAATAGGTACTGTACATGAGTGGATAGGAAATTTCTTATGTGACCGCAGACAGAGAGTTAGGGTCAATGGAACGCTATCCGATTGAAAGCCGGTCAAAAGTGGTGTACCCCAAGGCACCATCTTAGGCCCTCTGTTCTTCCTTCTCTACGTTAATGAGTTACCACTGTTACTTAGGTCGTCAACATTATTGTTTGCAGATGATGTAAAAATCTGGAGAACAATAAAAAGTGCGGCTGATCATGTGGATCTTCAAGCTGACTTAGACGATTTAGTTAGATGGGCTCGAGAGTGGGGCTTAGAAATCAATGCTAGGAAGAGTGTACTAATGCACGTCGGTCACGGTAATAGTTACCGTTACACTATTGAGGGTAAACCTCTTCCATGCGTTCATGAGCATAAGGACTTAGGAGTAATATTAAGTCATGACTTAAAAACAACTGCGCATTGCAAAGCAGCCGCTGTCAAAGGTTTTCGTGCGTTATGGTCACTTCGCCGAGCGTTCAAATCTTTTGACGAGGAAACGTTTCGAATTTTATATCCCATATATGTTAGACCACATTTAGAGTACTGTATCCAAGCAGCTAGCCCGTGTCTAGTAAAGGATACTAACTCCCTTGAGCGTGTCCAGCGTGTGGGAACGAAATTAGTGAAGGGTCTTTCTAGACTTCCTTACGATGAGCGCTTAAAGCGCCTAAATCTTTTCCCCTTGTCGTATCGTAGGACACGAGGTGACCTTATACTGGCATTTCGTATCTTTAATTATGATTTGGGTGTTAATATGTCTTATCTTTTTGCTCCCTCCAGCACTAATAATCTCCGAGGTCATAGCAAGAAGGTTCATAAACCACGATCTAATAAACTTAAAGTGGGATCCCGTTTTTCTCATCGAGTAGTCAATCATTGGAACGCCTTACCCGAACAAGTGGTATCAGCCCCATCAGTGAATACTTTCAAGGAAAAGCTGGACCTTCACTGGAAAGCAATGTGTCAGGATTAACACAGGTTCATCAACCTACTATCCTTATTACTGAAGACTGAATAAACAGGTCTGTAAGATTGCGAAAAGGCGGGCGGCAGACGCGAAATACCCGAGGTTGTTTGGCTGATCCGGAGCAACCTATTACAGAAGGTTGAGTAGATTACAGAACAGTGGGCTAATATTGTCACAGATGCGGCTACTGCTTCATGTAGTTACGTCCAGTGTTCAGACAACACAACCAGCGGTAGTATCTCTTTAATTATTAAAAATTTATAGGTTGTGTGATGTCAGAAATGTCTCCAGCCATTCATCTTTCAATGAAAGAACAGTTTGACAGAATAGTCATTGAAATGATGAAAGGTGGTTACATAAGCATAAAGAAGGTTGACCAAATATTGGACCTTTTTCGTGCGCGGTATCCAGAACTTCCTACGTACGTCCGGAGTGTTCTACGTCGATGCAACGACGTGGAGCCTAAGATCTTCGATTCTGGAACGTATTACCACTCGGGATTGAAATCAAGTCTTTTGAGAATTTCAGAACATTGGCTACGGCGAATCTGTTTCAACGAACTTCAGTTGCATTTCAACTACGATGGTCTCAGTTTGTTCAAAAGCTCTAACCAACAGCTGTGGCCGATCCTAGGTCGCATAGTAGCTCCACTAGTTAGTAGTGTTTTCGTAGTTGGGATCTACGGTGGTGAAGCAAAACCATCTGATTTCAACGACATGTCAGCAACACTTATAACAGAGTTACAGGAGTTGCTGACGGAGGTATTAATGTAGATAAGTATCAGCTACATTTAACAGTTAAATTAGTTGCTGTTATTTGTGACGCTCCAGCTCGCTGCAACGTGAAGTACATTGTGGGACACAATGGTATCGCTGGCTGTGACAAATGTCAGGTTTTAGGGACGCGAATGGGTGGTCGAATGACTTTCCCCAATGGTGAACACGACTTAAGAAATGATGTCACTTTTCGTAGTAGGTCGCAATCTATCCATCATCGTGGTACAAGTTCATTTGAAAATCTGCCAGTGGATATGATTAAATGTTTCCTCTGTGAACCTATGCATATGATATACTTAGGTGTTACTAAAAAAACTTATTTCATTAAGGAAGGAGCTAGCTATTAAGCGACTTAATAGGATGGATCAATCAATTATCGCATCAATAAATGAGGCACTAGACATATGTAGACAACACACTACATGCGATTTTCAACGGAAATGTCGTTCACTTTATGAAGTTTCTGTATGGAAAGCAACTGAATGTCGGTGGTTCTTATTATACTTAGGACCTGTAGTTCTTCATAATAGGTTACCACTATCAATGTACAGAAACTTCCAGTCACTTTCTTTGTCTATGTATTTATTATCGCACCCTAAGTTTCATAGCACATTCGCTAACAGTGTTCGGGTTTACATTAATAACTTCTTATTAGGTTACGAAAGCTGTTACGGTACCGAACACTTAATCTACAATGTGCATAGTTTAAAGCACATTGCAGACGACGTTATGGAACATGGTACTTTAGAATCCTTCTCGGCATTTCCTTTTGAGTCCCACATGAGAAAAATTAGGCGTTCAGTACACTGCGGCCAAACAAGCCGCACAGCGATATGCCGAAGAAGTTTACTTTCAAAGTATACTGAATCAGGATGAGGCTGACAACGTCATCAGTTACCTCAGGCCCAGTGACGTTGTCAGCCACATCCTGATTCAGTAAACTTCTTCGGCATATCGCTGTGCGGCTTGTTTGGCCGCAGTGTACTGAACGCCTAATTTTTCTCATGTGGGACTCAAAAGGAAATGCCGAGAAGGATTCTAAAGTACCATGTTCCATAACGTCGTCTGCAATGTGCTTTAAACTATGCACATTGTAGATTAAGTGTTCGGTACCGTAACAGCTTTCGTAACCTAATAAGAAGTTATTAATGTAAACCCGAACACTGTTAGCGAATGTGCTATGAAACTTAGGGTGCGATAATAAATACATAGACAAAGAAAGTGACTGGAAGTTTCTGTACATTGATAGTGGTAACCTATTATGAAGAACTACAGGTCCTAAGTATAATAAGAACCACCGACATTCAGTTGCTTTCCATACAGAAACTTCATAAAGTGAACGACATTTCCGTTGAAAATCGCATGTAGTGTGTTGTCTACATATGTCTAGTGCCTCATTTATTGATGCGATAGTTGATTGATCCATCCTATTAAGTCGCTTAATAGCTAGCTCCTTCCTTAATGAAATAAGTTTTTTTAGTAACACCTAAGTATATCATATGCATAGGTTCACAGAGGAAACATTTAATCATATCCACTGGCAGATTTTCAAATGAACTTGTACCACGATGATGGATAGATTGCGACCTACTACGAAAAGTGACATCATTTCTTAAGTCGTGTTCACCATTGGGGAAAGTCATTCGACCACCCATTCGCGTCCCTAAAACCTGACATTTGTCACAGCCAGCGATACCATTGTGTCCCACAATGTACTTCACGTTGCAGCGAGCTGGAGCGTCACAAATAACAGCAACTAATTTAACTGTTAAATGTAGCTGATACTTATCTACATTAATACCTCCGTCAGCAACTCCTGTAACTCTGTTATAAGTGTTGCTGACATGTCGTTGAAATCAGATGGTTTTGCTTCACCACCGTAGATCCCAACTACGAAAACACTACTAACTAGTGGAGCTACTATGCGACCTAGGATCGGCCACAGCTGTTGGTTAGAGCTTTTGAACAAACTGAGACCATCGTAGTTGAAATGCAACTGAAGTTCGTTGAAACAGATTCGCCGTAGCCAATGTTCTGAAATTCTCAAAAGACTTGATTTCAATCCCGAGTGGTAATACGTTCCAGAATCGAAGATCTTAGGCTCCACGTCGTTGCATCGACGTAGAACACTCCGGACGTACGTAGGAAGTTCTGGATACCGCGCACGAAAAAGGTCCAATATTTGGTCAACCTTCTTTATGCTTATGTAACCACCTTTCATCATTTCAATGACTATTCTGTCCAACTGTTCTTTCATTGAAAGATGAACGGCTGGAGACATTTCTGACATCACACAACCTATAAATTTTTAATAATTAAAGAGATACTACCGCTGGTTGTGTTGTGGTAACCCCTTTTTATATTTTTTAATCCTGTCTCAACCTTCTATTTCTTTCATTTTTGGAAATTTTGTCTTAGTTCTGGTTATTCATGGAGGAAAAAGATATTATTGTTTTGATTCGGCTTTTGAAAATCCTAGTGTTGGTTTACCCATATGCCAAACTTCATGTGAAAGTCAAGAGTTCACCTACGAAATGGTAAGTTTTGTTGAGTGTTCAACTCAGTCATGATGAAGCAAAGAACATTCCATGAATAGTCAGAACACATACAAAGTCATTCATTTTATCTGAGTTAGCCATCATTAATAGTCACCGTGGTTCGGCTTTCTCTTTACAATTAACGAAGATTACAATAGCCGTTGATTTATTGGTAAATAAGTTTCAAACTTAATTATTCAGTATACATGTAACATTTAATATTGACTTCTTTAGTTTTCATAAACCTAACTTGTTAATGATACAAACATCAAATATTGGTAGTTCACCATTTAGGCAAGACAGTTCATGTTTTACTGGCCACACACTTGTCTATCTCTATGTTCAGTGGTATAGGAGTAGGTTGGAAGAAAGCTAGGGGCGGCCAAACCAAAACATGGCACAAGTCCATGAAGTCACTGACAAGTGGACTGAGTCATGTTGGTAGGTGTAGACTACCTGGTTGGGGACCGCGAGATGATAGCAACCGATGGTTAGAGACCCTGCATGACGTGGCTCAAAATCGTTTTCAGTGGCACAGGTGCATCCACTCTCTGTGTTCTCCCAAATTCTAATCTTCTGAATTCTTCATGTCCCTTTTTTTCTCTTTCCAAATTTATTTCACTGGATTATACTCTTTAAATAACATCTCCAAACCCTAATCTTCCCGATTACTGCTTATACTCTTATTACCTCTACCACTACGGGATTTGAATCGACAACTGCATCTCTGTGCTAATGTGGTGTGGCAACTCGAACTGATGTACGTACGTACGAAGTTTTAAGTTGTTACTGACTGACTGACTGACTGAGAATTTTCAATCATGCATAGATTATGCTAGATGAACTGTACTTTATTCTAATCAGGTCATGAGAGTATTAGGATTATGTGTATATAAAATTTAGATTTCGTGTTTGCATCACCTGTTGTGTACGTGGAATAATTTCTGAAGATTCGATTGTAGCTTAACTTCAATAGTTGTCTAATTGAATTTACCAAATCATGTAGTAGTGTGGTGCGTGCTACTTATATTGATATAAGTAGTATATTATGCGAGGCAGGAATGTAATGTGTGACAGCAGAAGATGAGGGAAGATCAAGAAAGCAAAAGCAGGAATAGAATGCAATTTGTATGAAAATGTAAGAACAAGGAAGTCTGTGGCATTTCGAGACAATTGGTTGACATTTTGCAAATTAGTTCTCAGATTTTATTGAGATGCTCTGTAATTTCGTGTCAAATACTTTCGGTTTACCACCCGTGTTATGTTCGCTACAGTACTAGTAGTAGTAGTTAGATATTTTTACTGTCGATAACGTAGCGAAACGTTTTTGAGGTCATATTCGAATGCACTACTGTTATAATCATTGTAAAATCTTCAGATAGTACAGTAATTCACAAATTAAGTTTGGTAGTACTTTGAAGCAATCTGTAGACGAATATTTGACCATCTCTATACTTTTCGTGTATAGCTTTAATACTGTGTTAAACAACACTACTATGCAACAATTTGCAAAACATTTTATTACTTTAATCATTGCTAGATTATTGATTGAAAAATTCATTAGATGAAACACAATATAAATTAAATAAGCCATTTGTGTATTTGGATTCAGCTTCTTATTTAGGTGGTGGCAAAGCAGTAAAACGTTGGGCTAATGAGAGTTTCTGTGTACAAAACAGCAATGTATTCTGATATCAAATATTATTATAAGACTGTTTAAATGTCTCGTTTCACAG